TATTTATTTGACGAATCTTTCATCTCTTATTGAATTTTTTTTTAAAAATTGGATGCAATGTTAGAATAAATACATATAAAAATATATTCAATTTGAATCCTCCTGTATATAGTAAGTATTACATTTTAAACCAATAGAAAAAATCTAAAAATCTCTAAAATAATACTGCGTTGAAAGAGGGAGTGTGGAAAATGCCAGAAAAAATGTATTAAAGGCGTGACCTTTCAAGCCCATTGAATTAGTATGTTTCTTTATGTTTGTTTTTCATCTCGCTGGCTCACACTGACTCATATGTCAGAGTCCTTCTGCCGCCTCTCTCCCTTCCATCTGCAACCGAATAGCAGAGCAGCAGACATAGGAAGGAGATTAGGTGTGAAGAAGACTATCCAAAATCTTCTTCTTCATCTTCATCTTCTAACCGCTTCATCCTCTTGAGGGTCGCGGGGGGGCTGGAGCCTATCCCAGCTGACATCGGGCGAGAGGCAGGGTACACCCTGGACAGGTCTCCAGACTATCGCAGGGCTGACACATAGAGACAAACAACCATTCACACTCACATTCACACCTACGGACAATTTAGAGTTATCAATTAACCTAGTCCCCAATCTGCATGTCTTTGGACTGTGGGAGGAAGCCGGAGTGCCCGGAGAGAACCCACGCTGACACGGGGAAAACATGCAAACTCCGCACAGAGGGGCTCCCACGCCGGGACCGAACCGGCAACCGTCTTGCTGTGAGGCGACAGTGCTAACCACCACACCACCGTGCCGCCCCTGTCCAAAATCACAAACTACAAATGATGATAAGGAGATGACACAGCTGGTGCAAGTCAAACACGTTTTAGTGGTTTCAGAGCCAAGAGTCAAATAAAGTTAAACATGCATTAATCACTATTTTTGATATTAACATTGGATCCAGTGACTGGATGAATGAATTGTAGTGTTACAATATAAAGCAAAAGATCCAGATAGTTGGTGGAGACCAAAACAGAAGTGAAAGAAGGAGCGAATACTGGACATCACATGACCAGAAACAAGGATTCAGGGACAGGCCATGGTGGTGGCTGTGGATCTGTGGTGTTTTTCTGCCTCCTGGTGTGCAAACATTGATTCATGCAGCATTAAACAAATGTCATATGACTATCAAATGGCTTGAATCATCTGAAGAAGCATGAAAATCAGGCTAATCAAATTACATGCAACAACAGCGCCACAGAACGTGGAGGAGACTGACGTCACTGTATTGCTCTTTGTGATATGTCTGTCACTGTGACACTTAAATTGATTAAAGGGGATGAAAAGGGGTGTAACGTTGCATTTTCTTTTTGCTGCTGTTTTGTGTCAACTGTTTCTGGAGTTTAAGGTGTAACTGCATCATAGAATTAAAAGTGATTGCACCAAAAAAAATAGTTCTTATTATAGTTATTGCTAAATATTTACACACAGTAACTGCCAGGGATAACTGCTGCTACGTTTAATATATTGTTTGGGCTGTTAAAACTACCATTATTGTAAGTCATGTTACAGGTACTGATGCAGTAACTTATTGTTTATGTACTTTATTGCGTTTGTTTTTTTAGGTTTCAATGATGCAACTCAATTTAGTAAATCGCTTTGAAACTATGCTTGCAGTAGCTTGGTAGGACTTCATGCAGATTATGTTTAACGAGATCCCGGTTGCTACAAAATTCTTGTAGTTGAATAAATCAGTCTCCAGAATGACAAATCTGATTCAGCCCACAGTGAATGTAAAAATACAAAGCCAGTACAAGCATTAATGTTTATCCACCTTATTCCTGAGGGACTGTCTATGGTTAGACTCAGTGGCTAATCATGGTGGCTAACCACCAATGGTGGTTCTTTTCAAAAGTAATTCACCTTTAATTTAGCAAATACTGCTTTGCTTTTCATTTAACAGATATTTAACCAACAGTAAATTAGTGTTTTCTAAAATGTCCCTGCAGGGCTCTGGTACATGTTGTGCTTTCTGCAACTTTAACATTACTACTAACCAGACCAAGCTAGATTTGATTCTTCAACCACAGTGTGTTGACCATGCACCCAGAACAAAAAGGGATTGTTCAAGTAACCAGCGGTACAGTTTCATTTGCCAACCTCCATAGAGGAATAGGATGCCACCCATCCCATATGAGACCAGATCATCTCGTATTGAAAAATAAAACGCACTGTCCTTCACTGACCCAATACAGGACTTAATTTGTCCTGCATTTTCTTGCAAACCCTATTCTGATACTGTATATAGGCCTACAGTATGTTTTCATGTGTTTGGAATGACAGAAGAAATAATACACCATAAAAGTTTCAAGAGCGGAGAAGTATTAAATCAGAATTTATGGAAGTGAATGACACCTACAATGACAGGTCTGTCGCTCAATGTCACTACATGATATTTGTGTCTCCCTGTCTGACTGGATTCTCACCCCTCTTTAGAAAATTGCCAATTATAAAATAAACTCAGCATCATATCTTACATTATGTATTTAGTCATCTAGGCTGAGAATGTGTTAATGATTAATTGTTCCTCTTTCACATCATAAAAAAGGAATGTCTAGAATTATTTATTTTACTACTACTATTATATGACTGATATTACTGAAGTCTGCTACTAAATTCAGTGTCATGTTTCACTCAGGAAAACTCTGATTTAATAAATCATCAGCAACAGCAGCAGCAGACAAGTGGACATCACATTTATTCACTTAACATGGAGCTGAAATTTATACCGAATGTGTTAATGTCTGTTTATGAGTTGTAAGAAATCATAGATCATCTTTTAGAAGGAGTAGATGTTTACTGTACACTAGCTCAGGCTCTGTTAAAGTTAACAATATGACAAGCTAACTGTTAACGTGCTTGGTTAAATATGAAAACAACAAATGTTTTGAGATGGCTGTCAGAGATAATAGAGGTATGGTCACATTATACCATCTGAGGTGTAACAGGTGGTGTGTTCTACATGTTTTATTTCCCAATCCCTCTTGAAAAGAGGATTAGCGTACTGTTAGTGTACTGTTACCACTGGAAAACACCAGTCTCAGTTCAGCGCTGAGAGTCGTGCCCATAACTCAGGCAAGGTATCATGGGGGCTGGGAATAAGGTGGATATCAACTTCTATTTTGACTCACTCCCTTTAAATGTTCAGTGTGTAGGATTTAGTGGCATCTGGTGGTGACAATGCAGATTGCAACTAACTGAAACCTCTACCATGGGCCAAGCGTGTAAGAGAACAATGGTGGCCGATGTGAAAATACAAAATGTCTTTATTTAGAGCCACTGTTTGGTTTGTCAATTCTGGGCTACTGTGTAAACATCATGGTGGGCTCTGTATAAAGCGCAACACACACTGCCGCCGGCGCAGCGCTGTGGCCGTCAAGTGCCGCCCCCCAACACACACTGGCAGCGGCGCGCAGCGGCACCGTCGACGTGTATTTCCCACCCCAGCCCGCTAGGTGGCTGTACCTACACTAGTAGCCAACGGTTGCCAACTGCTAGTAACGGAAGAAGAAGAGGAAAAACTTTGAGGCAACAACAACTTGGATTTCACGGGTGAGTTTCTTATCAAAGTCGTCTTATTAAAATTTTGAAACAACTGGAGTTGATACTACGGCAGCAGAGACATACTTTAAAGGCTTTTCTCGCAGCGCCGCCATGAGCGCCGGCCGCGCTGGAAATAGAGCAGTGGGCTGAAGCAGAGCGGCGCCGCGCGTCAGCTGGCACCAGTGTGGGTTGGTTCATAGAATATAATGGAGGCGGGCGTTTTGACGCACGGCGTACGGCAGTGGTGTGTGTTGCACTTAAGAGATACAAACAGCTCATTCTGAGGTAACCAAAACACAATTCTAATTTCCAGGTTATTATAAACGAATGAAAACAAGTCAAACTAATGAAAAGTTATGAATATGATATTCCATCTCTGCCATTAGATCCCCCTTAATCCCACACACTGGACCTTTAACTCAGTGTATGTGTTCATTTATACTTTCGACCTCTCAATTTCGAATTATGTGGTTTTGTCTCCCTTAAAGTCAACATTATATATTAAATATGCACAGTGTTGAGAAGCTTACTTTTGAAATGTAATAGGTTACAGATTACTAGTAACCCTGTTAAAAATGTAATAATGTAATTATTTAAATTACCTTATCAGAATAATGTAACCATGGTAATTATATTTGATTTTTCTAACAAATATTTTAAACTGTCCAAAGACATGCAGATTGGGGACTAGGTTAATTGATAACTCTAAATTGTCCATAGGTGTGAATGTGAGCGTGAATGGTTGTTTGTCTCTATGTGTCAGCCCTGCGATAGTCTGGCGACCTGTCCAGGGTGTACCCCGCCTCTCGCCCGATGTCAGCTGGGATAGGCTCCAGCCCCCCTGCGACCCTCAAGAGGATGAAGTGGTTAGAAAATGAATGAATGAATGAATGAATATTGTAAACTGGGTAATAAAGCTGAAAAAAAAAAATCCAGAAATAGGCTATGCCAATGGAAGACATTCCTGCTGGCCAACAGATGCAAAGCAACACAATGAATGTTTCATTCCACATACAGTCTTACAACTGAGAAGAATATGTCCAGACGTAACCCCTCTGTTATCACCAACATTTTGAGTAGTAACTGCAATGTAATTCCTTTTTTCTCGATAACTGTAACTGATTACAATTACAGCCATTTTGTCATTTCATTACAAGTAACTAGTTATATTTAACTCCCCAACACTGAATATGCATCTGTTATTTGTCACTTCTGTGGCTTCATAAACACGGCTCAGTGTGTGCCAGTGTTGAAAGTGTTGTTTCCAGTACAGTACAGTGTAAAGTACACAGCATGAATGAGTCCTGCTGCTCCCTGCTGTGTCACCCCCTCTTTTCTTGCTCACCTGATTAGGCACATTTCTCATCAAACATGTCTATTTATTTTTTCTCAGCTAAGATGTCTCTTGATGCTGTTTCTCTTCTCTCTCTGTTCCCCCTCCAGATTGAAATCCGGGACACCAAAGATCCAAGATTTGGAGTCCAGCGGTTCCACTGAGAACCAGACTTCCTCTCCTCTTCTTCCAATCCCCCACCTCCATCCGTCCTGCTCTTGCTCCTCCTCTTCTCTCTGAAGCTCTTCAGGTTAAACCTTTGATCTGGGCCTGGAGGTCAAACTCCAGCAGTTTGTAAAATACAGCCGAAGTGGAATCACCTAACAAAGGCAAACCCGGTGTGATGGAAGAGAAACACATCCTGAGAGGAAGTATGATGATCAGCTTTACCAAACTCTGGGATAAAATTATTCCTAACACACAGTGTTACTGTCTCTAATGTTGCTATAAGAAAGATTATGAAGTTATTGATAATGATGATTATAATGCTTGCAGTAGGAGTATTCTATGAAAATATACATATTTTTATTGAGTGGGAAAAGGTGTTTTCCAGCTTTAAAAGTAACATTATAAAGTGCATATGTAAAAGCACAAAGGTGCTACTTCTGACAAAACAGAAAAAAACAAGAACAAGGAAAAAAGATGATTTTGTACAGCCACAGAGTAATTTTGAAGTCTTTTTCAGGCCAATTTTCAACTGCTCTTTGTATATGACAAAGTCTAATCCCAGGAACTACAGAAATAAAACACGTATGTAAATGAGATGTTTGTATGGAAACAGGGTAAAAAGAGGGATTTTGAGGCACTTTTTTGCCCCCATACATGACACATCTTTGTACGCTGTGGAGTAGAACAAAAGAAAAAAAGGTGTGGGTTCCACTTGTCTTTTAACCCTGCGTGTACCTTTGAGCCACCCATCATCCTTCAGCCCACACTACATTGAGAATCAAACAAGGTGAGAAGCAGAGACACATCCTCCCTGTCCCCGGCTCTTTAATTCATTCACATGTCACTACATTCTGTCTCTTCATTTCTAAAGAACATTTCCTCCCCCAACCCACTAGACACATTCAGTTTTGCTGTAGTTTGTACTAGGTTTTGTTTGTATGTTCGCCACCAGGAAAGGCCCTGCATGCTGCATCTATCTCAGGCTTGCAAAGATGAGGCTTCCTCTAAACACTCAGCAGGGCTCAGACTCCGTTTAGTCAAACTGGCAGTCTGCTGCACTATCCAGGCCCACCAGCTGAAGAGCACAGAGCTGAGCCTCCATGTCGAGAGGACAGACCCAGCACAGACTTTCATCAAGACAACAGACACCATGCACTGTGCTGCTCCCCTGTTCTAATTCAACACAGGACCCTTTCTATGGAGAGAGATTAGTGCTTAGAAATACATACATTTTTAATTTGACATGTCGATTTTGGAAAGACGACGCAACTGGCTGGCAGGCTGAATAGTAAGTGAGAATGGCCTAGATGTATTTTATTTAATTTTACCTTTAAATCTACAGTTTTAGTGCGATGTCACACGTGAGTGAAGTTATCACCTGCGAATATTCGCTTCCTGCTCACTTCCATTCAATGAAAGCAGACAACGCGTTCTCATCCCACCTCGTCAAATATTGGCACTTTGTCAGTGGACCTTCACGTCCATATATGACATGCTAGGTAGACTCCTGCGTCTGCTGACATTCTAGGATGCCATGTCAATTTACACTTGTTACATCCATTGTGTCTTTTCAAAATACACATCCATTTTCACAGGAAATGTTACATGCATACAGTCTTTTTCAAAATAAACTAACAATAGCTGCGTTTCCCAGATCCAGTTAAGAAGATCTTAGCGCTAAGAGCTTCTTAAGAACACTCTTAAGCCGCCCGTGAAAGAAAAACGCGTTTCCCAGATTTGCTCTTAGCTTAAGAAGCCTGACGCGGCTGGAGCTGTGAGTGTTTGGTCGCTAAGAAGACTGTTAGGAGTGGGTCAGCTCGATCTTACAACTCCTTCTTAGTAAAAGATCTTCTTAAGCTAAGAGCAATCTGGGCAATGTGTTTTTCTTTCACAGGAGGCTTAAGAGCGTTCTTAAGAAGCTCTTAGCACTAAAATCTTCTTAACTGGATCTGGGAAATGCGGCCATTTTTCCTTGAGCCTTCCTGAGTGACTGGTGGAAAGTTCATGACCTTCCCTCCACTATGAATTATTTGTTAGATTTTTTTTTAAACTTGATGTTTGAAAGTTAAAAGTTGAAGATGCCTTGGTTTTTCAGACGCAGAATAAAGTGATTGTGATGAAATATCATTATTTTAAACTTGGATTTGATTATGTTTTTTCTGACAGAAGCATTCATCCCATGTACTGTGTTCACGGACCATCAGAAATGATCATTTCTGTTTTTACACTTCCTGGATATAAATGGTATCATTTTGATAACTTTTAAAGAAAAAATGCCTTCTGGTTTGGAATGCATGCTTTCTTTAAACATCGGCAGTAAAATATAAAACACAGCCATTAAGTTGTATACCTCTCCCCTAAGCCAAAAAACCCCAAATCATTTGTCCCTTTGCAGTGCTTAAAAAATTATCTGACATACCTCTCCCTTTTTGCACCATCCTCTTCCCTCTCATAGGTGATGAAGAGTCCCTTACATTAAGTTGTTACTGGAGGTGTTTCAAACTGATGCAGTTTGGCAGCATTATAAACTGATGCCGCCTGGCGGCATATCATACAGCCACAAAAGGTGCATTTTTGTGTCTGTGTCTAACACCAAAGTCACTGATAAAGCAGCGGTGTTTGACAAAGAGGGGATGAGAACAAGCTGGGGCAGAAGGCAAATAAAACATTTGCTTCTGGTTGCAAAGCACATAGAATGGCCAATCATAGTGTAGCATCAGGCCCGCTCAGACCAGGGTGCGACAACGACACAGCTGTGCCCCATAGACTCTCATGCAATAATTTCAGATTTCCTTCATTTTCAGGCTGGTTTTGTGGATTTCAAGCTAAATGTTGTGTCTGGATCACATCGTGTATTAACGTTACTCATTACCTGGAGAGGTTGGAAGGAGAAATACGTTTCTTCCCTGTTCCAAAACCAAAATCAAACCCTGAAAAGTGTAGCTAGCTTCATTGTCTTCTCTGGCGATCACCAGTGGTGTGGTGGTTCACTTTTAAACTGTGATCTGTAGACTAGTTCGGCTCTAGCTAACTATCTTGATCTTTTTAACCTGTTTTTGCTGCTGAGTCAGTTTGACATCCTGGATATATCCTTCAAGTGCATTTTGTAGACCCCTCTGCCTGCCTCTCTGTGGAATCACTATTTCATTTTTCCAAATATATAATATTATCTCTTCAGGGAGTGCAGTTAGTTAGAGTGTGGTTTACATGCTTACCCCGGCAGCTTGTTGAACAATCACAAAGGGGCATGGTTAAATGAAGCCCAAATATTGCCACAGCAGGCAATGGTCACTTGCTTGCATTCGCTAATGTGTGACTGTGCCCTTAGATGTGTCTCAGTGTTCTCTGAAAACCACACAAGTATAGATTCAGTCCAACAACACTGGGCTGTAGTTTCATGCTAGCACCAAGCAGATGGATACAAATGCTGTCAGCTGGGTTCACGACAACTTTTTCCCCATGCCTGCACTTGTTTGGTAGCCTCATAGCTAGGGGTATATTCACTTCACAGTGAGAATAACAAGGCTCTTGTGCTGCACATTTCCCTTTGGTCGTCACAGTATTTACCGCTCTGGAACAGTACTGTAAGCTGTACTAACAGCTCCACCCACAATGCTAATGTTGCTGGTAAATTGCTACAGTTAAAAGTGAAGAAGCATTTTTGAAATGTGAACTTTTGGCACGTCTCTGCTACACTTGGCACATGTGTGTATATGGCAGAACATATACACAATAATGGCGAGGCATACGTAAAGGCTGTTTTTCTGCTATTATGTGACAAAAAATTCAAAAATATATATCAATCACATTTGACTATAGTTAACTTCTTTTTTAGCAAAGACCCTTTTTGAATAAAGTAGTTCACAAAGAGAACTGAAATTCTGATCAAAACAAAATATCTAAAGGCACTCTTTTGTTTCCATAGTTTTCCACACTCAAATAAACACAATTATGCTGTTTTATTATTTTTGTTTCCATCTTTCTATCTATTCACTTCTATGTATAAGTATTTGTAAGTCTTTAGTCTAGGGTTTCCAAACCTTTTCTGATCTATGACCCTGGTTTTAAGTCTAAAATTCTCATAAGCCCGGCAGACCAGCTCTCATTTGATTTTTGAGTATGACATACTTTTTATAAGCATGGAAGGACATGGAAATACTCATATATTTCAAACTTCTGTTTTCAGAAATATATTTTTAAATAAATGAAATTAGCTTTATTCTTGCTATTTGGACATATTTGCTGGCATTACTATCAAGAGAGAGCAACTTTAAAATTTCATCCTTGGATCCAATAATTGGGCTATAATAATGTCTGTAAAAAAAATAGTTCCACCTTTTATCCTCCAGACAGTTTTTGCATCATTGACTCCAATTATAACATACATTTTTGATCCTACTGTAGTTTAAGCATAAAACACTGTTTTACATATTACTACCTTTTCAATCTAAGCTTTTGGCTTGAATTTTTTTTTTTACAATGATCCATCATATGATGTCATTTTCCACCATATGGCTGAGGGCTCCATTTTATGCTGTTTCATTAAGGCCTTTTTCTGTTGCATTTCTGACTGTTGCTTGGCAACAGAATACATGATTACAACAAAAATACAAAAATGGTCTGGGTGTGTTTGTATTGATGTAAAAGTTTGGTATGAATGTGTGTATTGAGAAAATTATTTGTGTGTGTGTGTGTGTGTGTGTGTGTGTGTGTGTGTGTGTGTGTGCCTGCATGTGTGTGTGTGTGTGTTTGTGTACAGGGAAACAGAAAGTCTATTTTGCTCGCTTTTGCACACCCTTATGTCTCTCCCTCTTTCTTATGCCCACAGACCACATATTCAACCCCCCACCCAAACACACACCAACACAGAGCTCCATACACACTACAGTACTTGTACCCACTACAACAACTTCACACACACATATATATACACACATACACACACACACACACACACACACACACACACACACACACACACAGACACACATACACACACACACGCAAATTGTTTCATATTTTGTGTTTGTAGCATTTCAAAAATGTGGGTTATTATTCCAACTGCAACAACAACTTCACACATACAGTACAGGCCAAAAGTTTGGACACACCTTCTCATTCAATGCGTTTTCTTTATTTCGATGAGCTTCAAGAGGTAGTTACCTGAAATGGTTTTCCAACAGTCTTGAAGGAGTTCCCAGAGGTGTTTAGCACTTGTTGGCCCCTTTGCCTTCACTCTGCGGTCCAGCTCACCCCAAACCATCTCGACTGGGTTCAGGTCCGGTGACTGTGGAGGCCAGGTCATCTGCCGCAGCACTCCATCACTCTCCTTCTTGGTCAAATAGCCCTTACACAGCCTGGAGGTGTGTTTGGGGTCATTGTCCTGTTGAAAAATAAATGATCGTGCAACTAAACGCAAACCGGATGGGATGGCATGTCGCTGCAGGATGCTGTGGTAGCCATGCTGGTTCAGTGTGCCTTCAATTTTGAATAAATCCCCAACAGTGTCACCAGCAAAACACCCCCACACCATCACACCTCCTCCTCCATGCTTCACAGTGGGAACCAGGCATGTGGAATCCATC